TAGATTGTCAAGCACAGAGTGCCTTCAAAGAAGGACACCTTCTTCCTCTACCATGTTAAATCTCAAGGTAAATGATAAAAGGAAAAATGAAAAACATTTGGTTGTTGTTTTCTTGTACACAGAAAACTGCAGATAAAGTTAAACAAAAAGACAAAGCATACTGCATTTCATGCAAGATACTATTTGCAGATCAGCCAGTTAGCTGAGTTACAATGCTGAGGGTTAGGCTACAAGGACAACATACAGGAAGGCAAGAACAACTGAATTACAAACTTGCAAAAGCAAAGTAAATATTTAATTAAGAATAGGAGTTGACTCCACCTATTGTCCCTACTAATCAACTATTTCAGTTTAACAATGAAGCAAAACAAATGAGATCAGCTCTTCCTAAATGCAACCAACACAAGAAACAAGAAAAACCTCAGACATATACATATCTTCTTACTCAACTGCACTTTATTTCAAGTTTTAAAATTGCAAACACTGTTGCACACTTCCCTAGAGACATTTTAAGGTCTTGAACATCACTGAAACAAATCTAAAATGTCATGTAAGACCGAGTCTAACGATGCAGTTTCTTGAAGTCAAACAGGCCCCTAAACAGTGTTTGCTGTACTTGTAAATTCAGATAACATCAAATGCCTAACTATCTTCAAATCACTCTGTATAGTTCTACCATATATCAACTTCTCTAACAGCAAACACTACCTGCAGGAAATAGTGCTGCAAGACTGGTTTTTTTCTTCCCACAGATCAGAGTCTGAACTAGCTTATGTGCCATCTGACAGTAGCCTGAGACGTCAAGATTTCCTGCCCCAACGTCTTAAGAACTTTGTGTGAACACCATGTTTGTATTACTTCTACATTGTATTTTCCCGTTACATCTTGCATTAGAATAAGGCAGTATTTGGTTTGCAGACTTAACACACATACCAAGGCTCGAGTATTTAGCAATCAGGGGAGTTTCCTGATGACTAGAGAAAGACAGTCCTCAAGCAAGAGGATTTGAGAAACTACTGGACCATCAGCCTAGCCTCAGTCCCTGGGAAGGTTACAGAGCAAGTCTTCCCAGAAGATTTCCAAGCACAAGAAGGATAGGAAGATGACTGGGAACAGCAGCATGGATTTACCAAGTGCAAATCATGCCTGACAAACACAATAGCTTTCTATGACAAGCTGACTACCTGTGTGTGCAAGGTGAAATCAATGGATGTCATAAACCTCAGCTTCAGCAAAGATGCCCATCAGGGTGGATAGAACAGTCCAACTAGGGTGCAGATTACTAGTGATGTCCCCATAGGCTGATATTAAGTAAAATACTGTTTGATGTCTTTAATAAAACTCAGGAAGTTCACCTTTTGCCTTCCCTGCATGCACAGTTTTTGTTTTCCCTATTAAACTGTCTTTATCTCAACCCACGAGTTTTCTCACTTTCACTCTTCCAATGCTCTCCCCCATACCACAGCGGGGGGGAGTGAACTATGTAATACAAAAATCCCGTTTAAAATGATGGCAAAAACAGCTTGGTCCAAAATCATAAAATAAATCCCAAAGGCAGTATTTTCTGTAATTAATCTTCATTCTTCCCCCAGCTTAGCATAGTCTTAGACAAGTCAATTCATTTTTCTCTTACAGCAAATGCTTTCTACCTCAGAAAGAGCAAGTAATAGTGAACTGAACTTATCTGTCTGGCTATGCTCCCTTCCAGCTCCTGCACACCTGCTCATTGGCTGAACATGGAGTCTCCTTCTCTGCAGATATTCAAGACCCGCCTGGACAAGGCCCTGTGCAGCCTGCTGTAGGTGACCCTGCTTTGGCAGGGGGGGTGGGATGACTGACCCACAGAGGGCCCTTCCAACCCCTGGCAGGGGGGTTGGACTAGATGACCCACAGAGGGCCCTTCCAACCCCTACCATTCTGTGATTTATAGCAACAACTGAAAACATCAGTGTATTATCAACATTCTTCTCCTACTAAATCCAAAAAGCAGCAGCTGCTGGGAGGAAATGTAACTCTGTCCCAGCCAAAACCAGGACACCATGGGTTTTTTTATATTCTTGTAAATGACAGACAGTAGGAGACAGGAAAACAAAGAGAAACTGAAATGGCAGCATTTCTGCTGTTTGATCATTGTATTAGAAAAGATTCATGCTAGTTCAACTAGAAATAAAATATGATTTGTTCTGTCTGGTAAATAAAAACTGACTTGCAGGCAGATTTTTTTCTTCCACCCAACATACAATTACTGCCCACTAATAATGACTTACAAGTCAAAGATAATTTAAAGAACTGAGAATTATGGGAAAACACCTTCACTTTGTCTAACACTTGATAAACATCAGAAAAAAATATTGTGGAATATATTCAATCTAATTGTGTATTGGCATACAGGCCTTTAAGGAAGGATTTGCCAAATAGAGCTAGGCTTTGTTAAACACAGCAAACAAAATCCATGTCTAACACAGAAGATGTGGTACTGAGCCATAACACATCCTGGGAGAAAAGCAATATGAATATATACTATACAAACACAGAAATCGCACCCACCGAAATAACGTAGGAAGACAGTAGTGAAGATGGTCTTGCAAACAAAACAAGGAAGCACAACATAACACAATTTAAGACTTGAGCTAACTATATTACAATTTGTTTTTTTCTGGTTTCAAGCACTTTATGAATACTGGGTAAGTAATTTGATTTAGTAGCAAATAATGGCTTTTTTCTTTTCTTCTTCTAACAAAATTCCTATTTTCAACAGCAAGTGCTGCGACTCGTTGGTACAAAATAATGGCAAGCAATACATTAAGGAAGATCATTCCTTCAACCAATTAAATTGCAACACACTGAATGATAACAGCTTGATAGCCTTCCTTCTAATGAGAAAATACAAAGTCCTCTAATCACAAGCCAGCAGAGAGCAAATATGCAAAGGAAAAAACAGACATAGAAACTTTACCTTAAATCTACCTTAGATATCGTTCAGACTGCAAACAGTATTTTAAGCAGGGCTAAAGCCCCACGGGGAGCAATGGTATCAAGGTAAAGATTGCCTGACGCAAATAAGAAAGAAAAGGAAAAAAAACAATGAAAGGAAACACAAAGAAAGGGAAAGGTCAGTTACTTTTTGTGGATAGATAGCAAAGCCATCATTTCAATTATCTTGATAATTTCTACATAAAACAATATAAATTTAATGCCAGGTTTCCATTCCAAAATACAAGAACTAATGAAAAGTCACAGAGAGGGTTATACTTAAAAACGATTACAGAACAACGCACAGGAAACGATTTCTGAGAAAAGAAATTAAGACTATTTAGGAAAACAGATTGACTAGCAGATTTTGCAAACAACTAGGCTAGGTTATCTAAGAAACATAGAGATACAGTGTACTTCTAGGAACTTTCTGAACCTGAGCATTTCAAGGACAGACGCCTAACTACCATTATCTTTTTCTAGGTCATCAAGAACTCTGGCGGTTGGTACCTTAAAGTCAGCATTGGCTGAGAAACTTGGTGTTCTCATTTTGTACTAACCTTAATTTCTTACAACACTACTGCACAGGAAACATTTCCCTAACTGTGACCAGTGAGGGAGGGGGGAATTGGGGAAAAAAAAAAAATAAAAAAAAAAAAACAACACACGCTTTTCAATAAAAACCTCTGACAAAAAGAACTTTCATCTTAAAGAACAACTAAAATGTGTCCATGCTCCTAAAGGCTACAAGCAAAAACAGGTACTCCTAGGTTGCAATTTAAGCCTTGATTCTGTCAACCTCTTAAAGACATAAGAACCATACACACACACTGCATTAATTCTGCAAGCTTCACTGGCATGGAAATCCTAACTAAAATATTTCATAATGCACTGTAACTTGCTGAGGTGCAAGTCTTGCCTAACCTAAGCAAGTTACAAGTTTTTAAACCAACTTGGAAATACCAATTATGATGCCAGCATTGAGTAACTAAGGCAGCCACTTCCAGATAATCGGTGTTTGTAAGCTCAACACATATAAAATTCCTGCTTAACTGACTTGCTATGAATTTTGGACCATGCACTAGTTTAAACCATTATGAATATACGACATCCCTTATGTATAAATGAGGATAAATGGTACATTAGGGACCACAAGCATACTCTTATCACAGTAAGGTTAACAACAGAGGTAAGGAAGTTAACAAATGCAGTGCAAGTGAAGAATTTACACATCTATAGGTCATTTCCACTGGGAACATGATATCATTTTTATAAACCTATTTACAGTTTTCAGAAATCAGAGGCTACCAAGAAAGCAAGAGCAGCAGAATAAGTAGCAAGCCAGTTGACAGAAACAAGATAGTAAGAAAGTATTACAGAGCAAGAGTGCAGGCGAACAACCAAGTTGCCATTTGCTAGAACTACAATGGTGGGCATTCCTAGCCACTAAAATTGAGATCGTTTGTATTCAAAAACAAGTTTTGGATGCTTTTTTTACTTGTACTTCACTGTCTATGTGTGCACTTCTAATACTATCTGTTATCAGATAGAAGCAACAAACAGGAACTCCTAGCTTTAGGACATGCCCGGAAAGATCTCAAGCAAAGGACACAGGGAATGCTGCAAGTGTGGAAAGTCCCAGGGTGATAAATTCCAGTGCAAAAGTTCAAGTTCACCTGAAATTAAAACTAACCACAGACCAAGAATTCAGTCCTAAGGTTTTTCTGACTTTGAAGATGCACGTACAGCTTCGCTAGAAGTCTCCTGTCCTTCGCTAGTGCTAAGACTAAAACACAGTTCCTAACCGAACACCTGAAAGAAATGATGGAGGAGTGGTACGGTTACCTTACACATGCACTAAAGTGACAGAAGAGAGGAAGACATGAAAGAGTAGTGAGTCACCACTGCACATGATGACAAAATTGGGAATGGCTAGGAAGTATGAAATAAGAATATACAACTTCTCAAAATGGAGGTGAAGGCTTACTTACAGAAATGAAGCAACTCCTCCCATCTCCCACACTTACCCGACTACCTCAATAGCATCATTAAGATAGGGATCAACTATCATCTCCCTTGAAATGTTCCAATCTCCATCCGCAGCGATGATGCCAATGTTCCTTAGACCCAGTCTGTCCAAAGATTGTCGAAGTACCTTAGTAACAAATAACACCACTTAAAGGACAGCCTTCAACCAGGCAACATGAAAATTTAAGACTGAAAACAATTTAAGAACTGCAGGAGTCATCGGTGGAAACATTTGTCTTCAGACCAAGATGGACTGGAAAAGTTCTCACTTCTCAAAGGAGAGTCATAATGACAACTAAGATCAAGCTAATAAGTATTTTTAACACTTAAGGGTTATCTATGACATTCAGATATCCATTACACAAAAATGGGCTTTCATCACTTGGATTATTTTTGACACCCCATGTACCTACATGAACTCTCAACATACTGACTGCATCCACTGCATGCATGTAATTCATTACAGATGAGTAATGGATTTATCATAAAGTCCATCACGTTAAGTGGATCTAAAAACGATGACTGGCTGGAATGTGGAAGTGGATATACCTCCACAAGTGATCGGAAATGAAAGTTAACCTGATCCCAAAAGAAGTATATTGAGAAAACAAGGATTGAAGTTTTAAAATAGAAAAGACCTTGTAACCATGCAGCTCTACAAGAACAGAAATCTTTGCCGAACATCTGTTGTTTTCAAGTGAAGATCAACTAAGCATTCCTTTCACAAGCTATCTTACAGAACAAAAAAAATCCTTGATGTTGTAAATGTGATACTTAAGTTTACCCACTACTCAGCTCTCATGTCTCACTAATTACCAGGAACATAACGCAAAACTGGAACTGCACATTTACAACAAAACTGAGGGCAGTCAACTCTGAAATCAAATGTGCCAGCAGAACAGAATTCCTATTCTCTTTTTCCAGCTTCTCCTTACTATTTCACTGTCAAAGATTATAAACTTCTCACATTTGCCTGTGGAACTTCTCAGACAAAATATACCCAGGCAAAATATACCCAGTTATAACAGTGAAGAATGAACCAGGCTTATACAGAGCTGCTATTATACAAACATGTTTTATCTGAACACTCACTTAAAGTATTTTCAACAGCTTCCACATGCAGTTGCACCTGGGAAAGGACATCAGTCCAGAGTCTAAAATCCTTTTTCCAATCTTGGATACTAAGGAATGATGTACTATTTGCTGTATGTATGTATGCATAAGAAAGATTTTCTCCAACCATCTGAAGATCAATAGGCACGAATCTTGTAATAGCCCTCCGACAATATGAAGGAGGATAGCAAGCATTTTTATTTTGATGTGTAGTCAAATAAGGACACAAAGCAAAGTCCAAGTATTGGTGACAATGAAAGCCTGGATCTAAAGGACATAACACTTACTAAGAAGAAGAAAAGTAGCAATGAAGTTCTGGTCAGCTGCTTGAAGCCTTTGAGGCACAAAGCTTACCAGAAGAAAAAATCATAATGGTAGAAATACTTACAGTAAGATCCTTGCAATCTAAACTACAGTCAGAAAGACTGCCTAACCATAGAGAGTTCAGAATAACAAAGTGACTAAAAAGGCTGCAGAACTTCCCTGCTGAAAGGTAGGTATCAAGAACACAGAACTGTAGACACTCAAAATGCACTCCATAATAACATATTCAGAGTGGTCCCCCCACACCCAGTATTCCTGTTTATATACGGAGACTCCTTAAATTTTAGGGCTAGTTTAAGATTACAGTATTTAAAAATATAATTGGAAGAATAGGATCTTCTCGAATAAGAATTTCTAAGCAATAGAATCTTGACTTCTTTTCTAATTTTTTCTGCTTAATAAGAAACATAGCTAGCGCCTTAGTGGATGAAGTAACTAAAAAATCTTATTACAAGTAAAAAACTTAGCAAGATAACCAAGAGCTTATCTATGTCATGTATTTGTCAGACATTACAGAAAATGTTTGGTGTGCAATAGCACACTTCATTAAATAGACCTTTTTTGAAATGGCAGACTGCAAATAGAATGATCATGCTGATTAGAGAATAGATGCTACATGACACTGCAGAGTGTAAGAGAATGAATGGTGAAATAGGTGTTACATAAAAAGCCTTATATCGATTAACATACAGTGGAAGGAAGGCTAATACTTTTCAGCAAATATTTAGGCAATTATAAGATCAGATTTTAAACTAAACGTTTAGCTCTAGAAGTCAAAAGCTTAGTCCCAGTTAAAGAGCATTTAAAAAGCTAACAAGTAGATTGCTGCACCTACACATGACAGTTTGCTTTCCACACTCATTCTCCCCACATAAGGAAGACAAACAGATGAAAAAGCCTCCAGGTGACATGATATAGGACCAAGTGAAATAGAACATTTCTATTTTTTACAAGACATACAGAAAGCTAGAAAATCAGTTTTAAAAAAGAGCCAATCAGTGATACTGCAAAATAAATATTTTATTTACAGTAAGATGTGCCTTCTCTCTATGATGATTGTTCTTACAAAGGGTTCAGTTGCATAGGCCTTCCAAGCAACTGGACATCTAGTCAGTGAAGAAAATAAATTTGCAGCTTAAAAAAAGAATTTTCACTACTTATCTTCCATCTTACTTGCATTGTTTTATTCCAGCCTGCAAATGAGTGTTTTCAGTTCTGCTTGGGTTTGCTTTTATAATATACATACTGAACAATAACAGATTTCTACCTGAAGTCCACACGCATATTTGCCCCTCCTCCCCCACCAGTATAACTTGCCTATGATTAGAATTATCCTTTAGGAGACTAGTAGTATCCTTAGTCATTTCTCCATTAACCTATACCTGATTAGCAAACCACTTTTCTTTTTGAAAAATAAAAGCCTGGAAACCACATTGCCTAAGGCTGAAAACGGCAGAAAACTTCTAGTTCCTGAGGGGGTTTTGTAATAGAGAGCACTCCATGAACTTGTTTCCGAGCTTTAAAAATGTCAAGCTATGGTTTGTGCTGCACACACATTGGGATGGGCTATTTTAGGAGCATTCCAGGCACACCCACTGACCAAGTTTACACAGAGATTTAAGTAGGTTCACTAGCAAAATCCGAAGCATCTACACATCCACCAGAGTTCTGTTACCGAACATGCCCAACAAAACGTAGATGCCAAGATATCCTACTGTGTCACACTTCAGTGTATTTGTGTTTTATCTGCAAAGCATTTTCTAAGTCACTCAAACTCTAGTACCAAACCTGTGTCCAAAACGAACTAATGGCCTAGCAGCCTACAAAAGTGAGAGTCTCGAAAACACCTTTAATGAAATTAGTTGTGGAGTAAAGTATACATAACAGAATTTGGTCTAACATGTGATGAGACTTGGAAACTAAGTTACTGTGACGGCAGTGGACCCAGTAAATTAGTTTGAAATACCCACAAAGCTGGATATAAGGTATTGCTTTTTTCTTTACACAAGGTATACTACCAGCATATAGAGCTTTCTGCCAGTGCTTCTTGCCCTCCCTCAGTCAAAGCACTGCACAAATCATAAGAAACAGCTCTAAGGGTATTCATCTAATTTTACATTCTAGAAATATAATTTTTAAAAGAAATTATTTATAGGAGTGCATTCTCAGTTTTCAGGAGTAGACAGAATTTTATATACACCAGCCTCATGAATTGTACTTAACTGAAAGATACTTTTTTGCTCTTATTGCAATGTTAAGTTTAACTGTTGTACAGAATTTCATGTGTCATTCTACTAAAACTAACTGTTCAACAAAGTAACTACAGAAGTTGCTAAGTCAAATGATGCGACTAACTTCATCCAGTGTATACAAACTGGAAGAACTGGAACTTTTCTAATAGCCACCAACTGACTAATTTTAAGCAGACGGGATTTAATCCCTGCTGAGTTCTGATAAAAAAAAAAAATATCAGCAGTTTTTCTATGCACTCAGTGTAACTCTTATTTGCTTTTAAGATGAGGTAATGTTATTGCTTCTTAGCCTTGAAGCAGCAACAAGGAAATGAACAAAGCAGAAGCTTATACTTAAGATTCCACTTCAACATAACAACAAACAGAAGCAAGTTATCAAAGCAGGGCAGGAGGGCAGCAGTGAGGGATTAGGGATATCTCTAGGCTGGTTATGCAAAATATTGTGTTCCTCCAACTCTTTTAGAACAGGAGATGTTGAATTTTGCACAGTTAAAAGCACAGAGACTTTACTATGCTTTCTGATTTAACTTTTTCATAAAATAAGAACCTGGAGTTTAATAGCAATAATTTAAGGGTATTACACCCACTGGACCTTTGCTACAGAATTTTAAGTTATTGTAGATCTTGGACTCACAACTACCTCCAAGCCAGTACAAAGATGATGAATGTGTATGATTCCAGTGGCATGAACTGGAGCTTCCATTGAAATGTAGAGGTCCTAAACATTTAGCATACACTGACACATAAAGTTCAAAATACCAGTTTCAGACACACACACACTGAAAAAAAAAAAAAATCTAGCGATTTTATGCTGTCAGCACTCCACGCCTGCAACTACAAGAAAGAGAGGTTCAGTAAGTGAAGTGGTTGCAGGATTAAGGTCCCTTTTCTAGGCAAATTCAGACAAGCTAATTGTTTACTCACGATAACAAAGAGAAACATTTCACTTTGGAGAAGTAAGAAAAAATACATACCTTGATATATTTGCTATTAAATGCCCTTTCATTCCATATCTATAACGGAAAAGTAAAAAGACATTTAGAAAAATCAGCGTATGTCAATGCATAATGAAAGATTTTATTTGTGTATATGTAAGATTATACAATCCATTAACAAACTCCAGGGTTTCAGTTTGCTAGAGGAAAGTGCTCTGGTTGGTTTTGTTATTAGCTCTTCAGGTGAAAATTCTGTACAAAAGCTCAAAATAGTTGCTTGTTTATCTGCCTCTAAGGTCTACTGACGGCCTTCTTGCTCAAAAGAATTCTAGAGCTGCCTGAGCTCTGCAATGTTAGCAGTGTTACACCTGACATTATTACTAATGGGTCTACAGTTTGTTAGAAACCAATAAGAAACACATTGTGGCTTCAAGGTGTGTTCTTAATAAATGGGCCCTGTTGCCACACATGGACACAGGAGAGCTAGATTAAGTTACATATCAAAGTTGCAGTTTCAGGAGGTTATTCAATGACACTTACAGTTCTTTCTAACTCACAGGATCACAGAATGGTACGGGTTGGAAGGGACCTCTGTGGGTCATCTAGTCCAACCTGCCGAAGCAGGGTCACCTACAGTAGGTTGTAGAGGAGTCACACTGGACTACATCCATACTTGAGCACAAGAGAGATCCAGCATACTTTAAGCAGACAGACACAAAATTAGCTGATGTCTGTTGCTCTGGATTTTCCATCTTTTATGGAAAGAGGGTTTCAGCTCA